ACTCTCCTCACTCGCATGCTCAATGTGAACTTGATAGCTCGGTGTTCGCGCCGTGCTGTTTGTCTAATTCTGGTTCACGACCAACTAGTTTCGACGAAGCAATTTTTAAAATGTTTTATACTTTTTAGCCCATTTCCTCATTTATGGAAAAAATGCACTATTGTGCTCGCCATGTCTGACCGTCTGTCCGTCCGTCTGTCCGTGACCTCAAGTTTTCGTCGACGAGAAAATGCGCTCTCTGTCACTCACTGCAGTGAGTACCGAGTTATATTTTTTTATAGTGTGGAGATATTCATGCAGAAGCAGTTTCAGGTCAAAGATTTCATTCAAACTGGCAATTGAATGAAGTTTATTATTAATTGGAATATCTAATTATTAACCGGGAACTTTTCAAGGACATTGTAATAATTTACTCTACTTCTTACGGACTGGATCTCACGCAACTGGAATTTTTACAGTAAACAAAAAACTTGGATTAACGATATTATGACATGACACCATCGAGCGAAAACTTTGGGGTTCTGAAATGAAAAAAATTCTCTATTTTAGAAAAATTTCATTTATCGCTTTTGATTGCACGTCCATCTTTACTTGTGATTCGTTGCTCAAGTTTTACATGGTTAATAATAATATCATTTCCGTTATCTGTCGAGTCGTCATCTTTCAACATTATGGATTGTTCGCATGACCTATAATAGCACTGTATTGATTATATCCAACTTTTTTGGCTTCTATTGACGGGTTGCCCACCTCACTGAGCTGGCGTGCTTATTAAAGAAAAGTCAATTCCAGTGGAGTCGGCTACAGGTCCTAAGGAGTATTTTGCCGGGGTTAAGTCGCTAGTTAAGACCGATATCATCTACCCTTGATCTCTGTAGCCTGGAGCATGTCACACTATATCTTATAGTTATATGCGATATTTGCTTAAGAAAACGATTGAAATTGTACCCTTATTCCTGCACTACGAATAAATTGACAAATAATTTTCTATGAGCAATATTGTTATCTAATTAAAAAAATTGTTTCATGGTTCATGGAACCAATCAGTCGGCGCTTCGAAATCCGTGTCATCTCCATCTACTTCCCTACTGCTTTGGTTAATCTAATTTTGGACGAGGTTGTGTTTGTGCCTTAGGAAGCTCGTATAACGCACAGCTAATTATGCTGTTATAAGTCGCTCTCTAGGGCGCTAATGGAACCCCTGCAATGAACCGCTTCTCCTTTCCGCCTTTCCCACTAATGCTCTGCGTCTGCCTCTAATATGAAGCTATGGTCTGAAACTGAGTAGCTAGCGGCTTGAGCTCGACGTTCGTGCTTCGTTCCTTGCTTTATTATTGCTTCTGAGAAGCAATTATTGATTTACCTCTATAGTAATAATAATATAGTAATAATATAGTCTATTATATAGTAATAATATATTATTACTCTATAATAATATAGTAGACCTCTATAGTAATAACATAGTAATGTTTTAGTTCAATGTAGCTAAATCACAAAAAAAAACGGGAGTAAGTATGTGTTGATTTTTTCTATTTTATTCTCTCGTACTTTGCTTTGTTTGAGTAAAATAGCTTGGGCTATCGCTTGACGTCTTATCACAAGGTTCATTGTTATCGGATCCCGAGGGTATAGTCTTTTGCAGCTGCCTTAGCGCAGCAACCTTATCGCTCTTTGCCTTCAGTCTTGCCTTCCATGTACTCGCTTTTGAAATAAAGAACAGGACATTCTATGGATTCTATTCAAGTATCTGCAGATCTATGAAAAAATTCAGATTTATTATTTACCAGTGATGTTTACTGTTTACACAGCTATTTTGCAATTGAATTTGTCTGTTGTTTAAAGTTTTTCATTCAAAGATGAATTATTGTTGAAGCTTCAACATTAAGTCACTCCTCACTTAATGACTTTATTTGTATTCATTTGATCATCATTCAATGACATTTATTTGTTCATTTATGTTGTACAAAAATTAGAAACATTTTTAGAGCAACATTCCCTTGTTTAAATTCGATTTACCTCGAGTCTTTAAGGTTAATTCCTAGACATATTTTATGGTTAAATCGTATTTTCTCAACTGTAAATTTAGTATAATACTTTTTTCCATCGTCGACGTAAGGACAGTTATTGGAGAATTCTTAACGTGCAAGGAATCATTCCGGAATCCTCGCCATCTTATTCACCTGTTATGATTGTTATGTTACATTATGTTATAATTGTTACGTTATGTTACATTTTGTTACGGTTGAGACTTTATGTTACGTTACGTTACGGTTGTTATGCAATCCATCACCATAATGGACCTCATACACCTTAATTGGACATGGCTTTACTTGTTAAATTATGGCCAAGCACTTATGACGGACATTTATTTTTACTTTCTTGGCCTAAGTTATTGCGTGTGCTCTGCGGTGCTTTGTTTTCCTTGCCACAAAATATTTTTTGACACTGAGGGAGTCGTCAATTCGGAGCTTTGAAAATTATGCTGAAAAATAGGGACTGAGACAGCACAAAGAAATTATGACTTTCGGCATCATTTATTATATTTTTTTAGCTACACATGTCTATTGCTATTATGTTTTTTTATTTTCCATTGTCAAGTCTGCTCGTGCAGATGAGTTTCAGCGATGTTTCAAGAATATGGCAATTCTTTTCTTTCTGAGGGTGAGGGAAAGGAAACGCATTATAATTCTCCAGAAATGAGAAATACAGAATATTTCTATGATTGACCATTGTCATTGATCTCGAGTGCAAGGAATCATTCCGGAATCCTCGCCATCTTATTCACCTGTTATGATTGTTATGTTACATTATGTTATAATTGTTACGTTATGTTACATTTTATTACGGTTGAGACTTTATGTTACGTTACGTTACGGTTGTTATGCAATCCATCACCATAATGGACCTCATACACCTTAATTGGACATGGCTTTACTTGTTAAATTATGGCCAAGCACTTATGACGGACATTTATTTTTACTTTCTTGGCCTAAGTTATTGCGTGTGCTCTGCGGTGCTTTGTTTTCCTTGCCACAAAATATTTTTTGACACTGAGGGAGTCGTCAATTCGGAGCTTTGAAAATTATGCTGAAAAATAGGGACTGAGACAGCACAAAGAAATTATGACCTACAGCGTCATTTATTCTAATTTTTTGCTAGACATGTCTATTGCTATTATGTTTTTTATTTTCCATGGTCAAATAGTCTGCTCGTGCAGATGAGATTCAGCGGTGTTTCAAGAATATGGCAATTCTTTTCTTTCTGAGGGTGAGGGAAAGGAAACGCATTATAATTCTCCAGAAATGAGAAATACAGAATATTTCTATGATTGACCATTGTCATTGATCTCGACAATAGTTGATTCCTTTTATATACCTACCTTCATATTCTAAAGGCCCAAAATACGCCGTATGTAAAGACTAATATTTTACTACACTTGAAAGATCTCGTCAAAAGCAGCAATTAGTTGAACATAAATCTATTACTGTCCCTCTTTTTTCTAGTGTATCATTGCCTGATGTATTCTATATAAGAGTTAAATTAAACTGTCATCTTCGAGGCACTCATGCCCGGTGCGGTTGCCAGTGTTGAGGTTCACGTTCAGTTTGTACCACATCAAGAGCTGCCGAACCGCGGTCGTGTGGTCGTGGTTTCAAAGGCCGAAAATTACTCGCTTTCTTCTTGGCTCGCTGCTGCTCTCAGTTGATGAGACCCAAGCTTTCAGGGAGCCTTGTTTGCTAATGCGCCGTGGGGTTTTTCCTCTACCATGTCACGCTCAAATTGACTCCCTGTTTGTCCATCAGGGAAGTTTCATAATCTGTTTTTTTTTGTTCACTTAAATCACGTTTCCTCAGAGATCAGTTTGGTTAACAGTGTGGATTTTATTAACAGTAAATTTTGGTTTGATAATGTCATTATTAGCTGTGATTTTATTGAATCACCCAATTTTAAATTTTTATTTGAGGTTTGACATTACCAGGGCGGTGAATGAAGACGAAAAGACGCCTGCTCATCTGTACTCTGTTTATGTATGTTTCCCAAGAATGAATTTTCTTTGCCAGTGTTCCAAAGTTTATCAAAACGTCATCCGTACAGCAATCTATACAACAAATGGCTTCATATTTGTACAGTGGGCTTTTTTTACTGTCATCGCTGCCTGACATGTTGAGTGGACGCGTGCAAAAGACAGCTGGTGAGCCGTCGCCGCCGTGCGCCAGGTGTTAGTTATACTGCTCAGGCCGCCTGCTTGCCTAATGTGTTGCGACGTCAATCCATTGTTTTCGGTGCTGGTTTTCTTGCTCCCAGCACTTTTTAGTGACGTCTTTACAGATTTTTTTTGGAGAGTTTTGAGTCTGCCGCTCCCTCCGTCTCTCTTTTGCAACGTTAATTTTGTAAATCACTTAGGCTGATTTATTTCTCACGCATATTCTTCGTATTTCTTAGTCTCCGACGATTTAATGTGTAAACGTTTTGCTCTCGACACTTCCAAAAATAAATTATTTCAATAACTTTTCATTGTATTTTCATGCGAAAATCATTTTTTTCCATTTCCTCTATTTTTCATCTCTTTTTATTTACATAGCTATATATTTTACTACAACTCTTGTTCCCATTTCACTTACGATTTTGTATACAATTATCCATTATTGTCCTCAACGGATCCAGCTTAGAGGACTGACTGGATTTATTGTTGCAGTTCTGCTGCTGTGAAGCACGAGCGCCCATGTCCTGGTGGCATATATATTACTACAACTAATGTTCCCATTTCACTTACGATTTTGTATACAATTATCCATTATTGTCCTCAACGGATCCAGCTTAAATGACTGACTGTATTTATTGTTGCAGTTCTTCTGCTGTGAAGCACGAGCGCCCATGTCCTGGTGGCATATATATTACTACAACTCTTGTTCCCATTTCACTTACGATTTTGTATACAATTATCCATTATTGTCCTCAACGGATCCAGCTTAGAGGACTGACTGTATTTATTGTTGCAGTTCTTCTGCTGTGAAGCACGAGCGCCCATGTCCGGGTGGTGGCAGCGGAGGCCGCTGTGCAGGCTTTGGCCTCACCAAAGCCTACAGCTCCGAGTGTCCTCAGTACGGACCTCAGCAGCAGCTCATCAACCCTCTGCATCTCCTTCACCACAATGGACCTCAGCACCAACAGAGACGTCCACAGGTTTGTTCTCAGAAATTCTTTTATCTCGCTCAAACTCAAGTATAGAATATATATTTCTTNGCGACGGTAATCCAGCGCGCGTACCGCCACTATGCCATGACCAAAAAATTCCGCGCCATCACCGCTACCGCAAAGGCTCAAGAGCGGCGGCTGTCCAGGCGCTTCCAAGGGGACGCTGGGTCCAGGAGTGCTGCTGCAACTGCCGTGCATTACGGCGACCCGGAGCAGTTCATACGATCAGAGTTTGATGAGCTCAACAAGAATCTTAGCGCTTCCGGTGTGTCTTTTGTTAGGTTTTTCGATGTTTAGAGTCGGAAAGTCATTTGACTATCAGAAAGCATAGTTTTTGGAATTTCTATTATTCAAGATTTCCCTGGTGATTGTTTGCTTTATTAGGTGAACGACTCGTTCCAATCGATCTACCCTTTGAAATTATTCAATATGGAAGACAAAATGAGCCGTGAGATACTTGAGAGCAAAAAATTTATTTTCTAATTTTAATAATTACTAAAAATTTTCCTAAAATTTGTGCAGTTTACGGCGAAGGAAGAGGAAGTCAACGGCCCGCACGATCAGTTTCGATGCGCGACTCAGGAAGGCGAAACGCTGATTCCAGCGTTGATGAGACAGACAACGTTCAATTCCATGATCAATCAGTTGAATCCAGTTGTATTGGCAACAACATCGTTAAAGTGTCTTCTAATGAGGCTATTAGTAACGAGGCTGGTACTAACCTGACAGTTAGCGTAACGAACAGCTCCATCAGCAGCCAGGACAGCGGTCTACCCGCTAACGCTGCTCTCGACGACTCCAATGCCTCACCTAAAGAACTGAAATACTTTAGTTCAGAGGACAGTGGCTTCGTGAGTCTTAGATGATATTGTCTATGAATATGTGAATAATTGGTATATATTTGTTAAATCGTACAATGTCAGACAAATAACAGCTGTTTATTTATTTTAAATTTGGTAATGGGTTTTAATTTGTTGGATATTAAGTTCTTATATCCTTCATTTTTTAAAGGCTATACGATGTCTATGCATATAATTACTACCTCTGCATAAGAAAATAAGCCTTTGAAAGTTGACCAGTGAATTTGTTCCCCGTTGTAACGGAATTGCAGGATTTATTGCGGTTTGGGGATTTGCAGGGAAGTCACGAAGGCCGCGGCAGTAGCGGCTTGGGGGCGCGCCGCCCTAACAAGTGCGGCAAGAAGCTCCCTCCTGAGGTGCCCCGACGTAGTTCCTCCATCAAGTCGTCCGAGAGCGGCCACAGCGCCGACAGGTACTATTTCCTGCAGCGATAAAGCTACGTAATTTTCTTCATCAAGCTGGAAAACCCAGCTGACGCGCTTTTTTATGAGCCGATTCGTTTTTTAAGAGCTGTGAGACATAGTGCCAAGTGAGAGATTGTTTAGAAACCAGTTCATTTCTTATTTTATTGTCTACTTAGAGATTTGTTCAATACATTATGTAAGGCAATGCTGGTATTCGTAATACTTACTGGTTTACTTAAATGACTCAATAAAAAAAGTCTCTCGTTTGTCACTATGCCCTCCATTGTTTTCCAACACGAGTGTCCACTTCCCTTCTTAGCGAGTAGCGCGGTCGATGTACCTCATCGGCGTCTTCCTACTAGCATTGGTTTTTACTGTATTAATATTTTTTTGTGATATAGTGACCGTATTCAGCATCCTCTTCCCTTCGTTTGTTGCCAATAGCTTGAAATGCATGACATTCTGGTTTGTATTATGATAACTTTTTGGACGGCCCATTTATTCCATTTTAATGCTATTTTTTTAGCCCTAATATAGCAGCTCTGCCTAATAGCTTTATTTTGTAAATAATCGTTTCTTTTTTATGTTCGAGCTCATATCAGTTTCATCTTACAACGAATTATTGCCGTTTCTCTTGTTTCATCATTGCGTCTTCATTTGTTGGACATTTGAATTTTATTCTTGGCTTAAATGTATTTTTGTTTAAATTGCTCTGCCATATTTGCTTTTTCGTGGTTTTATTTAACATAACAGTGCTTAATTTTAATTTTTATTGTATCCTACGCTTCATTCAAATCTTATGTGTGGTCAGTTCTCTGGTTCGTGCGTTTTTTTTTTTTTCTTTTGCTTTGTTCTGCCTATTATTTATTGGTTATGGTGGTGCGTTCCCAGTTATATGGGTTCTCCGCTGTCACCAAATCCACGTTTTCACTGGCCATCCCCTGCCTCCTCTTGCTTCACTCCTCCGCCCTACGCTCCCCAACAGGAGCGCAGCAGGAGCGTCGAAAGAACCATCATGCGGAGGTATGATGGTTCTCTCTGAAGATGGTCTCTGTCTCTCAAAGACAGAGACTCTCTGAGAGTCTCGGTCTTCGGTAACGAGGACATCTCATTATTATTTTTCCGCTCGTCATGCATTCATTTTTTAGCTGTCTTAACTAGACTTTTTATTAATATATTCGATGGAAATTTATTTTCGCACATTTTTATGCTTTGGGCTTTGCTGTGTTTCCATATTGCTTCTACTGTTATTTCATGCTTATTTCATTTACATTTTCTATTCCTTATTCACTGCTAATGTCAAAATTCCCTATAACTCACTTGATGTATCATTATTAATAGTAGTTTTCCACGAGCTCATCACGTAAGTATTAATGTCTGTATTTCCATCCTATATAATATATCATGATGATTTTTATAAAGAATTAACTGGGGCATCGTATCACAGGTGTCCGGAAAACGGGTCTCTCTCGAGCGTGCAATCGTCAGGGTCGGACTCGTCGCTATCGCAATCCGCGTCTGACAGAGCGACTCCTTTATCTTCCCACGATCTCCCCGACACATTAGGAGATCTTCACATGCCCACGTCACCAGTCTGGAAGCGAAAAAATCATGTAAGTTGTCATTTTTTGTGGGACCTTTTTTTTGTTCACTCATTGTGTATTTTTTTCGATTCTGAGTATTCTACTGAATTCAAACAACTATGTTGGCATTTCTTTATTGAAGTAAGATTAATGGTTTTTAAAGCAATTGCTGCTATCTAATATTTAAAAATATCGTAACCTTTTCAAGCAATGCGCTGATTTAAAAGAATCAACTACGATTTGGAGGTCTTTTAATTGAACACTGTTTCACAGATGAGCACGAGTGAACTTATACTCGATGACAAAAGGCTAAGCAACATTAGTGAAAATTCTGAAGACTCATGTCAGTCTCACTCGAGCGACCGCCTCACCTACTCGCAGACGGCGCCTTCACACAACGCGCGCTACGCGCCGCACCATCCCGCGCAACTGCCAAAGGTCTGCGCTTTTTCTCACTTTAGAGAAATCTTACCAAGTCGGCATTTCGTTAGTTGACAGAATTTGAAAGATAGCGATAATCAAGGTCAGCGCTTTTTCGCACTTAAGTGAAATCTTAACAAGTCGGTATTTTGTTGGTTGACAGAATTTGAAAGATAGCGATAATCATAGATTTCTGTAAATCAGTAATACATTCAAAATTTATCTAACACTCACATTATCTTGTCGCATTGAAATGTTTTTTTTAATGATATTAATTTTGTTCCCTATATCGATGAAGTGCTGCTGCTTGAATTGTCAATCCTCTGAATATTGAAATAATGGAATTTCATTGCGAAATAATGAAATCGAAGAAGTAAGCTTGAGCTTTTTTGTATTAGATTGTGAGAAAGTGTAACCCGACTTGTTCTTCGTACGCAGATGCCTGAGGTGCTGCGCAAGCGCCAGTATCGCGTAGGACTGAATCTATTCAATAAGAAGCCAGAGCGCGGCATCACGTACCTCATCAGCAGATATTTCTTGGAGAACTCGCCTTTGGCTGTGGCTAAGTTCCTGCTTACAAGGAAGGGTCTCAGCAAACAAATGATCGGCGAATATCTGGGCAACTTACAGAACAGCTTCAATATGGCCGTTCTAGAGTAAGTCTTTTGCTCAACAATTTCTTTTTTTTTTCTGTCTAAAAAAAGAAAATTGGAACAAGAATTGTTGAAATTGTACTAAATGCTTATTTCCATCAGGTTTTTTTTTTGCATTACTGAGTCTGACTTACTTTCTGTTCAGTATAACATGAGCTAATTTTTTTTACTTATATAATTTTTTATCTTTTACAGAATGTTTTCCCAAGAGATCGACTTGTCGGGCATGCAAGTGGATGTAGCTCTGCGCAAATATCAAACATACTTTAGACTGCCTGGCGAGGCGCAAAAGATCGAACGTTTGATGCAAGTCTTCGCTCAACGTTATTGCCAATGTAATCCTGACATTGTTGCTAAACTACGAGACTCGGAGACTATATTCGTGCTAGCTTTTGCCATTATTATGCTAAATACTGATCTTCACACAGCTTCCATGAAGCAGGAGAAAAGAATGAAGGTAGAAGATTTTATTAAAAATCTTCGTGGGGTTGATGATGGATACGATATCGAGCGCGAGATGCTCGAGGGCATGTATCATCGAATTAAGGCGCAGGAATACAGGACTGGACACGATCATGTAACGCAAGTCATGAAGGTACAACAAACCATGGTTGAAAAACGGCCGAATCTAGCTTTGCCGCACCGCAGATTAGTATGTTATTGTCGTCTCTATGAAGTCCCGGACAGCTCCAAGAAGGAGCGAGCTGGATTACACCAAAGAGAAGTTTTCCTCTTCAACGACCTACTCGTCGTCACCAAAATATTCTCTAAAAAGAAGAATTCTGTCACTTATTCCTTCCGACAAAGCTTCCCGCTGGCGGGACTCACTGTCTTAAACAAGGAAACCCCTCGTAAGTTTCGACTTTTTAATGTCAAGTGATGTTTTTTTGCAATGGGTTTAGAAAAATTGTGATATGATCAAGATCATCCTATTTCTCATTTGTTTTTCATTGTTTGATTAGTGAAGCATTTAAAGTCTATTGCAACCTCATGCACATATTAAAATTCTTCTAAAATATGATGAGTTCTTCAGATATTGAAATTAATGATACTTTTTCTTGATCTGAACAGATTACCAGTACTTGATAGAGATCAAGCAGCGAGTTGACAACAAACTCTTGATCGCATTCAACGCTCGCAATGAGCACGACCGCACCAAGTTCTGCGAGGATCTCAAAGAGAGCATTTTCGAGATGGACGAAATGGAGAACTTGCGCATTGAAGGAGAACTGGAGAAGAGTAAAGCATCTCTACGAGCGTCCAGGCCGACCTCGACTGCTGAAAATAGAGATTCAGGTTTGTTTTTCATCAATAAGAGAATTGGAAGGCATCAAGCTAAATGTAGATTCCCGTTATTTATTTTAGGGAAGGCGTCATACTATCGTTCAACTTGCAACGAATTATTTTATAAAAATAATTATTTACATTCCATTTACGGCGCATTTTCCTTGGATTTCGTTTCTAAAAAGTTACATTCCCGGGTGACGCTAATTTAACCTCATACTAAGGCTGGCGTACAACTTGGGTTAACCAGCAGTTTAAGTACTGTTCAAACCTAACCCTGATACCTCTCAAACATAAATTCTAGAGTAACATCGGTGTACCTGGAATCGCGGAACACATTTATTCTATTAATTGTTCTAACACTTTGCTAATTTTAGCTACGGTACCTTGTTAATGTTAAAAAACTACGGTACCTTGTTTATGTTAAAAAACTACGGTACCTTGTTAATGCTCGAACGAAATGAGGAAAGGCAATCTTTGTGCAGGTGTTGCGGACATGGAAGTCATTTCGACGGGGTCGGACAAAAGCACCTTGAATACTGAAGTTGTCAACGGCACAGGCACTCTGAAGCGCACTGCACTCAGCAACTCCCTAATAGACATGCACGAAGCAGGTCAGTAGCGAGCCTACATATAATTGCTAGTCAGGATTTGATTTTAGTACCGAACATAATAAATATAGGATCTAACGAAGACAAAAGGAAATTAAAAAATTAAACATTTGCTTAGGAAATCTGTTGAGTGGAGGAAAAGTATTTAATTTGTAGTACATTTTGATTTGGGGCAGTTGGCATGAATAATTATTTGGGTGGAGTGTCAATGACTAAAATCAATTGAACCCTTTAAAGCTGAGCAAATTTCCACAATTTTAGTCATCTCACAGTTTCTTTTTCTCGATTTACGGCCTAATTTACATTGTCTCTGACTTGTATTGTGTCGGTAATCGTATGCTAGAGCTTGTAAAAATGCACATAAACCGTTGATCTTTCATATATATTTTTCATCCATATATTCAGCAACTTGCTTGTGTAAACATTTCTCTGTAATGTAGGCGCCATATATACACATTGTCAATTCAATTTTAACCTTTAACAAAAAAACTATTTTGAAACAGTTTAGTTATGAATGTGAATAGATTTTTACATATACTGTGTTTAAGGTTTGTTGTATACGCTGCGTATGCTCTTTGGCACTAGATGTGCAATTGAAACGATAACCGAATGCTTTAGAAAAAAATATACTCCTAAAGAATGCTTGAGCCACTTTTGTAAAAAAAAACTGTACAAACCTACATTATAATTTCACTTTTTGGAAATACTCATTTCATTCACGGTTATCAAATCATGAATTTCACTTACAGGATTGTGAAGCACCATCGTCACTTAGTTGCACCACATCTACTCTACGTCTGATTCGTACACAAACTTTTACTGCTGTGGCGTATGCTGGACAACTGCAACAGATCCATTTCTCTGGCACTTGTCACCTGCACGGTCTAGATTTGTGTGCCCATTAAGATACTTGTACTCTTTAGTTTTATTGTAGTACTCAACTCAGAGACAAGGTTGTCAACTCGATCGCAATACTGGCAATCGTAAATGAAGGTCCAAGAGACGGTGATTTTTTTCCAGTTCTCTTTATCATTATTATATTTATAAAGCTGTTCGTGCTATTAGCGCTGAAAAGAATTTTGTGATTGAAGATTTATTCATTAAAATTTTTCCTGTGACAACGATCTGTTTTGGAGAGCAAATTCCATTTCTAAATATCTTCAAAAAGTGATTGATCCTTGCTGCAATGGCAGAAGTAAATTAATTTAGGAAAAGAGTATTGCGTAAATTAATTATAATTTTTAAATATTCTAGCGTCTAAACTTGAAGCATCAATTCGCTTGAAATTCCCGTGATGCCACTGTCTATTGTCTACAATTTCGGTTTGAATTTATTACTGACTGTCCAAGTGTGGCGTTTTTATGGTAAGGAGTGCTTGAAACTAGTCTTCCTCTCAAATTATTCCACCATTGACTTCATGTTTCGAGTCTATCGATTTATGGAGTGATTGATGAAAGTCGATTTTAATTTTCTTTCCAGTCTGTTGTGTCGTTAGCATAAACCAAAAAGGCAGTTACCTATGGTTTCGTGGATCATCTCAGCGTTTTAAACCCCCGTGTAGGAAGAACGTCTGCAATGCGTGATAAAGATTTAAAATTCGTCAAAAACCTCTCTATGTACGGCTGTCGTCGGTAATGTGAAAGTGTTTTGGAGTGCTCTTTGAAACGTAATGCTGTTCCCATTATTACGATTCCCGATAATTTCATACAAAATTCACGCATTCTCAGCGCACTTTTCTAAACACATCGTTTCGAATGTCTTTTAAATTTTTCAATTACGAGTAGACGATTTGAAGCTTTGTGAAGGTTATTGTTAGCTTTCAAATTATTGAATATTTGCCCGACAACCTAAACGAGACGACGTGTGGTCATCCCCAAAAAATCAAATCTTTGCAAATAAAGAAACCATTCCTTTGTTTTGTACAGTTGTTGACTGAGATAAAGACATTATTTAAGTTACTAACGCTTTGCTTCAGTTTGATAATTTGCTGTGCATTGCTGTAGCCAATTTTTTTTTGTTGTTCTGACATTTTGCTATGAGTTCATAACAAGTATGTTTTGAGCTTCAAATTTTAAATGTATGATGCGTAATGTTTTTTAGTTTGTGATTGGCTTTTCAATTGTTAAGGTATTCGTTCTGACGTTTAATTTTTTGCTTCTGCCAAAGACTTGTCTGATTCTCTTGAGCTACTGATTTTTCTTGTTCTGATTGTTTCTTTTAATGTGGGATCTTGTTCCATTTTCCACGTTTTCTTGCATTAAAGTCTTGTACGCTGACGGCTTCATATGAAACACTTCATCCTGCTTTTGGTGTAAACTACAAGAAACTCTTAGTTACACTTCGTTTGTTCTTTGATTATTTCTACTTTTTTATTGCTAAACCAAATCTTGGCGTGTATAGCGAACGTTGATCACTGTAGTGTACCTACCAGGTTGCAAATTGTCTCGAGAAAGGAGCCGGCACTCCCGGGAAGAAATCTCTTGTTCCAGCTATCGAGGTAGCATCGGGTCTCTTGATTCTGGGATGTCTGGATTTTTTCAAGAGCTCGGCTCTTCATCCATCGGAATTTTTTCCAACGGTCGTAAAGGAGCGTCCACTACTTCGACGAACGGAATGACTGTGAGCGCGTCTATGGGCGACATACGAAAAGCCTGCCGACGCTCATTGCCAAGTTTTACCAGTTATGGAGAAGCAGTAACAGCGTCTGTGCTGCAGATGCTGAAAAGGTCAAACAGTAAAGAGCAACGAATGGCGACTTAAGTCGATGTTTGAACAGTCTTCCCCCAGCAAGAAACTGCGATCGCCTTCAAATGTCTGTGACGTGGTTTTTTTAATCTAGATCGACATTTGAAATAAGAATAGGATCATTAGTAGGTTATACCTAAGTAATAATGGGTTAATGTTTACCTAAACGGAAGTGTTTCGATAGGTACGTTGGGTTTTCGTACACTCACGTCTTGGTGTGAAGTGTGGTGCAGATCAAGTCAAGGTTTAACTCATGATTAAGGTTTAACATGCGTAATTATTCGTCCTCGGCTCACGTCGATTTCATCTTAATTTATTAATTACCGTTGCTACAATTACTTTTAAACAAAAAAATCCTCGGTCGAGTGAAGTCTTCCAAAATTTATTGTTCCGTGAAAAGATCTCATAAGGAAAACCGGATTACACAATTGAAATTTCAAACGAAAGTTACATTTTGCACGAAGTTCTTTAGCTTGATGTTGTGCGACGGTGTGCAAGTGATCGTCAGTTAGTTAAGTCTTTATCTTTCTAGTCAGGGTAAGATTTTTTATTAACAAATGTTAACACTCGTTTAGTTGTTGGTGCGTTGCGAACGTTCAGTTGCCCTGCCGAATGGCAGATAACTACAAGTTATTCCAAGAGAATGCATATCTCATCCCCCGGAAGCTTTATGATGCAATTAGTTAATATTTTCAGGGTACATTATATTCTGTCCAGTATTAGAAGGCATAGGAGGAAATTCGTCTCCACGTTCAGAGATTCATCACAGTATACTAAACTGGATAAATATTGGATCATCATAGTAAAGTAGAATAAATTACGGTCTATCGGCTCTCAAATATTCATCTTAAATATGCTACTTTTTGTAAAGTAGTGTGTCTATTACTGAATAACACCGTATATAAGACTAGATATTGCCAAAGCATGTATAAAGTTTGTGTAATCCTTGTTATGCTCTAAGTCCTTGTTGCTAATTCTTTACCCTTGTACATAAACATAGTTAAATTTCTCCATATGGTGCCTATTCAACTTGGGTTCGAAGATCTATTCATTTTCTCTATAGGGTTTCGACAGAAGTTGTCTGTGTATTTTAGTCTGCATTAATGTTCCTGTGCGAGTGAGCGGGTTGGTGTGACACACATGCGCTATTTGTATGATGCCTATTCAACTTGGGTTCGAAGATCTATTCATTTTCTCTATAGGGTTTCGACAGAAGTTGTCAGTGTATTTTAGTCTGCATTAATGTTCCTGTGCGAGTGAGCGGGTTGGTGTGATACACGTGCGCTATTAGTCTATTAAACGCATGACGTTGAGATCGGCCGGCAGTAGGTGGTATGTAGAGAAATTTGTTTCAATGCTCTATGATTTGTATCACTGAATTACTGGGATCCTATAATTACGATCAAATTGGTATCGATGAATGACTCATTGAAAACTCTTAATGCCATTGAATATCGATGTGAAAAATGCTGGTAAACCAATGCCGATAATTGAGAACAGAGTTTGTCAGTGACGAGTGCGTTGGACAGATTGTCGTTCACTTCTTCTCTTACCTTTCCTTGTATTTGTGTACTAAAAGAGGTCAGAAAAGCTACATTTGAGGTATGCATGCTTTTCATTCTTGAGTAGTTTCTGTTGAGACAATATACATGAAAGAACATTCATGAAAAGTAGGAATGTTTGTTGTTGAGTAATAAAATTCTGATAATTTGGAAGAATTCAGTCCGCATGATGATCTGGTATATTTACGTCACGTGTGCCATGTATTAACGAAGTCAGTAGGTTTACGAAGCATGAGAATACAATCCATCAGTATGCAGGGGCCATACTCTCAAAACTCGCTAAGTGAACGTAAGTACTTACGCTCTATTTTCTTGTCCATGATTGGTGGATTTTGCTTGAACGGCCGTCAATGATTGGCTGATGAACTTACGATCTCTTAACTTTTTTTGAAAGTATAGGCCCAGGGGCCATACTTTCAAAACTTGCTAAGTGAACATAAGTACTTACGCTCTATTTTCTTGTCCATGATTGGTGGATTTTGCTCGAAAGGTCGTCAATGATTGGCTGATGAACTTACGATCTCTTAACTTTTTTTGAAAGTATAGGCCCAGGAGTGTATCTGGTGCTCTTCAAATTCTCAGTAATTAGACTGTATTAGTTTATAACTTCAGTTTATATTATAATTGAAGTATACCTGCCTTCTAAAATTTATGTGTACATGCAGCGAACCCTCCATAGGATGTTTTTATAATATTTAATTAAAAAAAATGTCGATAAATATGCCCTGTATTAAATAAGGTATCTGAAGTAATTCACGTCATGTGCATAGTTTATTTACGGATCTGAAGATTAACATTCGAATTAGCGTAACTAAAGGATATTATATTTTTTCTATATAAGATAGTATTATTTGTCCTCTTCCATACGAAGAGATATTTGTGTGAATTCCCTCTCGTAATTAATGAATATATTCTATATCGTTAGTCTCCATCTTGTAAATATAACGTTGATCCATTTCTCGTCTTTCATCGCTCCTTTATGCAAGTTTTTAATTCCTCGTTCTCGGAGTCTTGAAAAGGGAAGATGCTTGCAGAAGAAATTTTGCAAAATCAAATGGCGTGGCCTAGAGGTATATTCAAAATATTGCAAATTGAATCATTATCAATCACCCAAATTACTGCCGTTATCATTCAGAAAGTTTGAAACACTTAATATATCTCTGTCGAAGCGTCAAATTAAATGAGGTCGTTTGAAACATCATACCGACCGGATTCCTAACGCCTCAAGAAGGTTGAATTACGAGATGAAGGGACAGTTACTTCATCAACAATGATTGCAAAACTTTGAAAATTACATTTTAAAATTACATAATTTTACTTTCCAAAATAAATGATTACTAAGCATCAGAAAAAAATTAGCCTGTTGTGGAAATAACTCCTAGCCATTTTATATCAAGGCTCGTCGTTGACTGATTAATGAAAACGTGTCCATAAATTCAACGCAGCAACACTAATTACATCACACCTTCGCCATTGGTCGGAACCTTCAGGTCGTCGTGAGTAAAGGCTTAATCAACGCCGCTTTCCCTTAACAAGCTCGAATTCAATGGATAGTGTTTATCAAGTCCACATGAACGCAAAATTGCTTAGATATCAACTCGAATTCAATGGATGATAAGCGTCCACAATGACGCATAATGGCTTAGATATCAACAGTATTTGTGCCAGCGTTGTCATTTCCAGCACGAAACAGAGGGCGAGATATCGTCCAAATATTAGCCATACATTCACAAGCAGATAAAATACGGCGAGTTAAACGATGACTTATGGCTCTAGAAAGCTGCGAAATTTCCAAATCAATGAATGTTTTATAAAAACTAGAAGAAATATTCGAACTGCAAAGCATGATCCTCACGTTTAAACCTTTAATAATAACAAACCCAGACGGTGGTTAGACAAACAATATCAAAAAGTGACACCCAGCTGATTTTCGTTCAATCAGTAACGATGACAACGAGCTTGTCAACCTATTAGACGCAATTTTCAAAATCGCACAGATTCGACTAATCCTACAAATAATTGTGGATGCATCTAGGAACGTTCTATTCGCAAAACTGTAATATAGCGTCCAAAAATTGCACACTAGGAACTCGCCATGTTATACTAATATGTTAATCTTGCAGATCTCAACAAATTATAAAATACAGGCGGCAAAACAGCGCAACTCACATTAATTCTCTGCACCTACACATACAAGTACAAATTGAGCTCCATATCTTCTCAGTCCGCTGACTGCATCTGTACTTATATACTGCATATACTGACTGCATCTGTACTTATATACCGCTGACTGCATCTGTACTCAGTCCGCTGACTGCATCTGTACTTAACTTATAAAATACGATACAAGCAAAATATAATGACAACGTCAAGCAGAGAGACAAGTTTTCATGACCAATATGAAACACACCAGAATGAAATAAGAACATGGCATGAACGAATAAAACGGTTAAGTCAAATAGGTACAGAGGAAGTAATATCGAAGCGAAAAAAAAATTCAGCTGACATGTTTGCAGTTCATCATCCAATGCCTGTCTCTCTCACACGACAGAAGTAAGCTGAATATCTTCGAAATATACCTTTATTTTGAAAGCAATAAATTTTTATGAATTTGAATAAGGAACAACACGTCAGTGCAATCTTATTTATGAAAAGTTTTGCAGTTTATAAAATTCAAGCGACGAGAACAAACGCTAAAACGAGACTACGCTATCTAGGGCCGCTCTATTGTGTAGTATATAGTCAAATATTATTCAAACGCAACCACTACTTTGTTCTACAGAAGACAAACATTCGGCCAGATTTCAGCCACTCAAGAAGCATTCTAACTTTCTTAGTACCTTGAGTTCTTGAAGAACAAGAACTTAACAAGAACACTTGAAGCCCTTGAGAACTCTTTGCAAGGGCTATCAGCTTCAAGAACAAGAGAACTCTTGTTCTTCAAGAGTTCTCTTCTTGAACTCTTCAAGAACTCTTGTTCTTCAAGAACAAGAGTTCTTGAAGAACAAGAACAGTACCTAGAGCTTATTGTTGCCAACAGTAAATACATGGCAGTTGGGGGGGCAAAATCCATGTTAGTGAACACTTGATTAAAATAATAAATATTTTGTGAAGCTGAACGTCAAGTGCTTTTAAAAAAAATAATTCTACTTATTCATTCACTCAATGCTGACGGTCACTACGTATCGCAGGTGCGACGGTTTTCAGCGCAAGTAATAAGAAGTTATTTATCCTTCTAGAAAGTTACTTATTCCGCGATAAAATGATAATTATTATAAAATGATACTATTATCTATACATGAAATTATAATGAAATATAATTTTAATCGACCTGTCTGTGGATCAATTTGTGCAAGGTTCTCTGTGTTCTAGTTACAAAAGCATCGTAATGGTAACCGTGCCAACTACGCATCGTAATTAACAATGATTACAATTCTTCGCAACACAGGCGAGAATTTACGAATTAACATCCCGAAAAAGAATTCGGTACAATTTAACTCATATTCATTCATATAATAAAACTTAGACTTTACATAATCAAACGCACTAATTGAGAAGGTCAAAACTTTAAACTTACTTAAATTTCATTGATAAGAAGAAGGGCAATACTTTCCGAAAGATTACAGCTTCTGACAGCACTTGTTAATCTTATATTAGATCAAAATTAATTCGGATTATAGCTACAGAACATGATATTTATCAAGCCATTAAATTTCTGTGTAGAAAGAGCCCTCATTATAGAGGATTTTCTCTTACCGCTAACCCCAGAGCCTAGGTCAGGTCTCGACACATGCAACCTTGGCCAATGAAAGTCGGTACACGTTTTTCAAATTAACGCAGTATGGCAATCATAGAACGATTAAGTTTATCAAAAATCAACATTATCTTCGACGGGGGATACCGCACAACGGGAATAAACGAAATAAAGCTTTAATTGAAGATCAATGAATAGAAGATCTACAAATAACACACGAATACAACCTCCCAATGAGTATTTCATTGGTTCCGTTGATTAACATCATTGAAGCCAAAAATTTCAAGTTAATGTAAGGTCAAAGGTACAATTGAATCACGTATAAATTGGAAAACCAGCTGATAAAAATAAATAACATCACCTCATAGATTAAGATTTCGAACTGGTCCAAGAAATTAACAGGGAAGCAAAAAAACATACATGTATTTTCCCAGGTAATTTGATGAGACGCATGGAGTAATCACACGAAAATATACGCCTTATAGAACTAGTGCTGATCAAGACCTCCAATGGACGAATTAAGTGTTGCCAAACATAGCATAGTAAAGCGGTGAAAGTTTTCCAAATCGATGCACGTATTTCGTCCTATCCAAGAGAAAATTTTGAACCTTCGCTCCAAAAAGAGGCCAGAAAATCCCTCACAAGTTCTACACACCTCAGTCAAACGCTCAATGACCACAACAAGTGGCAATACGTGACCGGTAAGTTTCTTCTTAAAATGCATATTAAGCTGCAATGTATGTCTAATACTTCGATGTTTGCACGAGAGAAAAAAATTTGTTCAATGTAATAAGAACATGCTTCAGCGCAACGTTTTGTACCTAACGCTTTAGCCATTATTAAAAGTAAAGAAAAGCACGACCTCTAGAAACGTAGCGCCGATTGTACCATCGTCACATAGAAGATGCAATAAATTTGAAGAGCAGTCGACCATGTAGATTTAGAACTTAGCAAACAACAAATACAATTTATTGCAAGAATCTCGAAATCGGCAATTGGACTATGGCAATACCTGATACGTCAGATACCGAAAACAAGATTAAAAATATCGTATGAAACCCGAAATAATAACTAGCAGAGAAATTTTTCAGAATGACATTCCACTTGATTAGGAAAAGAATGGTCATTCCCACATGATACATCATTGAGTTGACAGTAGGAAAGGCTGCTTTGCTTATCATCAAATTGAACGTACTTATGAAGCAGTTAGTGTCATTAAATAGCATTTGTTACAATTTAACTGACAAGAATCCTCTAAAATTATGCCAATAATATTGAGCATTTATTAAGATTATCAGTACGTCATTTGATACTTTAATTCTTATTATAATTTAACAATCATTCTTGGGTAGAGCCAATATATTCCAGTCTATAGTGAAAAGTTAAGTTTGCAAATGTCACAGGCTTGTCGGTCGAGANCCGTCCGTCCGTCCGTGACCTCAAGTTTTCGTCGACGAGAAAATGCGCGCTCTGTCACTCACTGCAGTGAGTACTGAGTTATATTTTTTACGAACATTACCGGCCATTCATTGTCAATAGGATATGAACCCATGTTGATGGCTTACCGATAACACCCGAGATGATTGAACTGATGTCCGTATTATAACGGATTTTTTTTTCACATAGATGAGCCTTGACAATGAGAGGTAGTTAAATTTTATCTAATGTACAAGACCAAAATAATGTTTTTTTTTGTTGCATTATACAAGCAGATATGTCTTGTTCTTATTGCATTTACTGGAACCAATAGCAATTATTCAGCTTGAGAGATTTTCAGGCTTAATTCACATAAAGCCCTTTTAATAATTTTAAATTACTGCCGGACTTACAGCAAGTAATTTACACTAAATATATATAATAAAAATATCCACAATACTATGAAAATTACACACAAATTACACCATACATTTTAGGCATTTACTCGCTGTCAGAGATGAAGACTACAATTGCCCTCAAGTCAGTCAAACAGCACCACATCTTCAGACGGAATGTAGTTACATAAACTTCACAACTAATCCACATATTCATTAACACCACAAATAATTGTGTAAGTATAAGAGAGTAGCCAAACTCGAGATAAGTTATTATTCAACTACATTTCCATATATAATCTGACTAACACAAAGAAATATAAAAGAAAAATGCAAGAAGACACAAATCGACAAATATTGCGTGGGCAGAGCCAACCAGTAGCATTAGGCAAATACAACTAATGACATTTAAACTAAGGGATGCTAATTGAATGTTAGCAGCACTGCTTGTTCTTGCGTGGCTTGTTGCTGTGTAGGTTGATTTTGTCCTTGCCCCCAGCCTGCTGCTCCTTCTGTTCTTGCTTGTTGCGAAGCACCATGCGCGTCAGCGTCATGAACAGCTAAACATGTCAGCAGAAAATTATTGATTAATTTCTTACACCACATGAAAAATACGAATGAAATTGAGGCATCAATTTATGTCGAATTTAGCTTTTGAAAAACCAAATTTAATGAAATGGTAATAAACGCATATAGCTAATAAAATTTATGAAGGTAGATTTCGACCGCAAAGCAATGAAGATCCCAATTGAGGTAATTAATAGTATTTTCACGTCGCAAAATTTATCAATGCATTTGTGCAACATCAACACTTTTCCACTTCAATGGACAATTCCCGCAATATTAATGTTCTTTATATCTCAGAGTTTCCCTTGAGGAATGCTTTATCTGTTGAGATGACTATGGGCAAACAATTATACATATATACATATACATTAAAAAAAAGAAAAAAAAAAGAAAAAAAAAATTATACACATGTTTGGAACACTGTGAGATTGAACAAAATTATTCTTAAGTTGAACTGTAATGCTAAAAATACATCAAATCAAGTTTTAATAAAATTCAAGCGTTGAGCTAAAAAGAACCATATCTACCAATGGGGCTATGGGAGTACCTATATATTTATTAGGCACTTGTCATAACAGTATTAATAGCAGATCATTTAGCAGATATGTAACTGATACCTACACAAATTTTTGGCAAAACATATCTGGATGAAATTGAGCAAACTTTACCTATACTGAAAACCAAAAAAAATTTATGGGTTTCCTATAAATATCTAAACTTCTTTCTTTCATTAAAATTTAAATGAAACTTGAATTTTACACTCAACTCCAACAAATATTTTTTTGAACGAAAAAGTTTAACACAACTGTAAAACTCACCTCATCCACATTTGTGTTGTTTTTGGCACTGGTCTCAAAATGCTTTATTTCCATACGCTCAGCAAACCTTCGGGCATCTTCTGGCAAGACTACTTGCCTGTCTTTACAGTCACACTTGTTGCCAACTGAAAATTTTCAAGATTTAAAATGCATCTTACCCATCAAATATGTTAAGATTTGTTTATACTATCCAATTAAATGTGCAGTTAGAATATAACTTTTACTAGACCTTATGTCAACTGTGTGTGAGCAAATCTTAGTTGAAAATATATTATTATTAAGAAGGTAGATTTATGAAGAAGTATGGATGCCATCAAAGTTACATGTTTATCCCTTGTATGACAGCAAAATTTTACAATACGGTATAGTAATCATGTTGCGTGTATGTCCAGTGGTGTGTACTTGAACTGTGTGGGTACAGTGGTACTTATATATGCAGTCCAGCAAGAGTTAAAGAATTGATAAATAACCAAAATTCATAAGCAAGCGCAGAAATAAGGCACTTGATAGCTTTTCAAATTAAAATTTATCCTATTCAATACATTTGAAGGCTTTATTTCTTACCTTAATATTTTTCAATTATAGAAATGAGCATTATGACAACTAACTTGGGTTAATGATTTTATACATACCCAATATTCTGTTAACAACATCACAATTTTGGTCGATTTCATGTAGCCATCTTTTGATGTTGGCAAAACTCTCTCCATTTGTGATATCGTATACAACAATGACGCCGTGAGTGCCTCGATAATACCTGGAAATAAAGAGACAAATAGGAACTTGCATAATAGTCAAGCGTTTGAGTTAAATAAAATCATACTACCTACGTACAGATAGCAAGTTTTTGCCATTAAACTGGTACAAATTTCCTTCACTCTATCATATATTTGTGAAAGCTTGTTGGTTTCAAACCTACTGCAGAATAAATATGAGAACTATTCAAGTATAAACATAATCAAAATACCTACAGTGTCTTGATAGTAGCTAGGCTGTTCATATGTACTATGGCAAGAATTATCAGAAGCTATTACAACAAACAAATTTAGGATTTTGGATAGAAATCAGTTTCCAAGCTTATTACAGTGATGGTTAGGACCAAATTGAAAATATTAAGGATTTAATGCACCTAACATAATTATAATCAAACGTGATAAATGCATAGGAAAACTTCTAAAGTATCAGCAAAAGATTCCTGACATATACAAGGTATGGATGAATTCAATAATTTAACTCACGTGGATGTGATAGTTCTGAATCGCTCTTGGCCAGCCGTATCCCAGATATGTAACTTCACTTTCTGACCATCCACATCAAGGGTTCGAATTTTGAAGTCCACGCCAATGGTGTTGATGTAGTTGCTAGTGAATGTGTTGTCGGCAAAGCGCAACAACAGGGAGCTCTTCCCCACCCCTGAAATGAATTATTCCCCTTTAAATTTGCATTCAAATAAACCTGGTATGGGATAAAATACATTTGACAATTAATGAACTTGATGTTTGAGCAAGTCTTCAAAATATTAAAAAAAACGGCAGGTGTAGAAAAATTTACATAACAAATAGAATCTAAATACCAAAAATCTCAATAATAGGTACCGTCAAAAATGGTAATAAGGGATGGTTTTGAGCATTTTTTGTTAGTAACTTCTTACCATGAAACATTTCATAAGCAAGTTTAGGCTCATTTTATAGCTCTTTGCAAGGGTATCAAATGGCACCTTCTTAACCCATTAATTGCCGAGCGGTTCCATTTGGAACCAGCGGGCAAAATGGATTTATTTTAAAATTGAATGATCAAATAAATATACTTAGAAGTGGATGTGTAGGTTTGATACACATCTTGTAAATGTTCTGGCAAAGTTTGGTTCTGCTGCCCTGACTACTTCCTGTTCAGTTAACATTCAAAGATTATAAGAACCAAGTGTCAGACAGGACGGCTTGATATTGCGGAGAAAAGTGCAGCATACAATAGCGGATAAACAGGAATCATGTGTACGAATAACAGTAGAGAGAAGTTGAGTAATTTGTTACAAAATATACTATATAGGTACCGTAAAATGGGGGTAACTTAGACCACTTTTTTTTATAAATGATGCCATTTTTTTACTAGCTAAATTAAACTCGAATTGAAACATGCAAAATACAGGTCTATACTACCGTCAGGGCTGACATTAGGTGGTCTAAGTTACCCCATTTGGGGGTGGCGCCCCCCATTTGCAAACTATGACACTTTTCTAAAATTTGTCATTTGCATATGTAACTAGAAGAGTTCTACTACAATGCATCAAAACCTGGAGTTATTTCACCAAAAAAATAAACTTGATTTTACCACCCAGTTTAAGATACCCCAAGAGTGGGGGGTAACAAAGACCATCACTTTTTTGAAATTACATCAAAACAATGAGGCAGGAGCCAGCAATATATGGTGAGTGAACCTTGAGTATAGACCTGCATTTTGCATGTTTCAATTTAAGTTTAATTAAATTAATTTAGATAGTAAAAAAATTGCATCATTTAAAAAAAGTACTAGTCTAAGTAACCTCCTTTTACGGTATTTGATGTGTATTAATATATATATATATTTGATGTGTTACCCCAAATCTATTGATAACATTTGTCTTCACTGAAGTGGCAACTAAACACAGGATAATCAGATAATGCAGTCTGACTGCTTTGATCTGACCACAACTATGCAATCTTCAAGGAAACATTTAGAGTTGACTTGTTGTTATTACGTTCTGCAGGATATTTTGGCAAGAGCATTGAAGTAGGTACTGCGGATTGTGGATGTTGAAAATTTTATGAAATGACATGTTTGCAAAGTGCAAACCATGATTTTTTCAATTAAACAAAAAATACAAGACATTGCAGCCGCAAGATTTCATACCTATACTGAAATTAAATGATATTGGAGCCACAATATTTCAGAAAAAAGTAGGACTTTTCCTGTCCTGATCTACATCATCTACAAATGAAGAGGACTTTGGAGTACTGTTTAGTAATGGATGAGTACACTCTGCATGCTTCAAACATTTTAAAATCGTGTTTCATTTCATATGTCCCTTGTTATCCCATACCCGGAGTAATTTGGGATGCTTTTTCTTCCTTCTGGCACCTTACAAATAGCAAATGGATTTTTTAGGAGTTGCCATATACGTATTAGCCCTTGCAAAGACCTTTAAATTGAGCTCAAATTCATTTATGGATCACCAGAGAAATATATCTTATTACCACATGCCCATTTGACCCAGGGCTGGAAAAGTATATTTTTTCTGAAATATTGCAGCTCTAATATCATATAATTGCTGTTGAGATATGAAATCTCACAGCTTGAATGTCATTATTTTTTGTTTGATTGAAAAAGTTGCAGTTTGTACTTCACAAACATTTCATTTCAAAAAATTTTCCTCAATCCACATTGTTTTACCGTTCCTGCCAAAATATCCTGCCAGTACGTAATCATCTTAATGTAAACAAGTCAACCTAAAAGTTTAGTTGATGATTGCACATAGTTGCAGTTACGTCCTACACTCAGGAATATGCAGGTTTTTGGGGAATTTTCTCGTGCATAACGAGTTTTAAATTTTATCTTTGCGCCAATGTTGGTGCAAATTCTGGTCATTCATTTCACCCCGCGCAGTCGTCGGCACAAATACAGTTTGTCAAGGAACAGTTGAACAGATAAAAAACTCAAAATATTCAATATGTGTTTAACTATCCTTCAATAATATATGATTTTTCTTGGTATGAAAATTTTGTAGAAGTAAAAATCTAGATATTTATTTTAGAAGAAATTATCTACAAATTTCTTATGGCAATATTGCCTGTTTAACTTCCGTATCTAGGTAATCAAATATACTGTGCATTTTTTTTTATTTTGCTTGTTCTATATATATATATACTATACTAATTGTATAATGATAGGGTTATTAGAGGTTCTACGGTGTGGACAAAGTCAGAAATAATTTCATCCTAATTAATGGAAAAATAGTTTTGAGGACAAAAACTTTTGTAAATAAAATACCTCTAGATATACTACGTAGCTGTCATCAGAAATTCCCAACGGAATGGTATGGCAACATTGTTTTTACAGACTTTTACGTAATGCTGATACATTGTCATGTGTCATGTGATGCGTCCCTTGAAGCTATTCATATTTTATTAATTTTTGTTGTTTGTCTATATAATTAACCTTTAAAGTTGGAAGAAATGAGAACGGATAATTTAATGAAATTCTGGTGCCTATATTTTTTTATTCAATGGGTTTGCGCCATGCAAACCCATTCCACCGGCCGGGAGGATGTTGGAAACGTAACATATTCCCAACATTGACAAATGGGTTTGTACTATTTGCCAAAATCAGTCCATTAGAAGGCACCAATCTCAAGCCACGTGAATTGTTGCATTCTATTCTTCAGTTTTATAATTCATGTCAACTGAATTGTGATCTATGAATAATGAATAAATATTCATAACTGTGCCAACTCTTATAACTTGTGTTAACATGTTAGAAATCTAGTGAACTTGATGCAGATATATGTTTGTGTGTGATGGGGTTACGGCCCATTGCCGCACATTCATCTTTAAACAACTTTCGGAGCACAACACATTATTTTACCAGAATATTACGGTGCACGGCACAGATTGATAAAATGACAATATAAATTTCCGCACACCTGGCAGCTGGCACATCTTCCTGACCATGAGTTACGTCAGAGTTCAGAGTCAGACTGCATTAACACATGCTCAGCTTAGGCCTTAGAGTAAAGACAAATGTTATAGTTGCCATTTGAATGTTTTAAAATAAGATTAGATTTGAGGTAACATGTGCATGGACTTTGTAAATAAATTTGCGCCTTGAAAATGGCTTTTCATGGCCAACATTCATGGCTTGAAAAAATGGAATTATGGCTTGAAGAAATGGAATCATGGCCATGGTCAGGAAGATGTGCCAGGTGCGCGGGAATTTATATTGTCATTTTAACAACCTGCGCGGTGCGCCGTACTATGCCGGTAAAAAAAATGCGCTGTGCGCCGACAGCGCCGTACTTTTAGAAAGCTAAAATAGTTTAAATATGGACGCGCAGCAATGCAAATTACGTAATCACACTGACCGTACACATGTCTCTTATACACATCTAGATGTGTATAAGAGACAGCATGTATACGCAACAGGTTACAATGATTGGCAATGGAAGGCGGCACGGCTAGAATGCATTCACCTTCTCAAACACACTCGCATATCAAATACTGTACACACATAATATTACCTTTAAGCTACCTAATTTACTTTTTTTGTTTAGAAATAATGAATTATAAGACATAAAAAACACAAATCTTCAAACGAATTCATGCTGGCATATATTAAAAAGACACAATTTCAGCATTAACAGTCATTGGAAAANCCTGTCTCTTATACACATCTAGATGTGTATAAGAGACAGGAAATATACCATCTGGCAATGCTGGTTCAGCGTTACTTGAAATCATCTACAGACGATGTTGCCATTCCATTCAGATGAAAACTGTGTCTAAATCAGAACTGTGTCGGACGGCTCCGCGGCCCCCGCCGAGTGCTGCGTGGCGCGAAATCGATGACTGTGATTTGCACAAACGTCTGCGCGAAAAAAATATAATTAGATTGATTTACGCGAGAAATTTCCCCGTTTATATACATCTTCCTGAGTGTGGAATCATGGTTCGCAAATCCAGGAAACCACGGCTCAAAAATTCAGTCACGGCTTGCCAAATAGATATATTCCACACCTGATTTGATGGTAATTTTGCACTTTTGCTAAAGGTTGCACTCATAGTGGCAAAGCAGAGAGTTTTTTAGACTCTTCCTCAAGTTCATTTTTGAGTCATATAAGTAGACCACTAAGACCAGTAAAGTATCTAAGATACCAGAATTATCATACATAAGAAATCTGTTGAAATCTTGAGTAAATGAGGAAATTAAAAATGAACTGATTTTAAAAACTCACTAGTTTGCCACTATGGTTGCACTTGCTTTAGCAGTTAGCCTACATCAATTACTCACCTGAATCTCCAATGATGAGGAGCTTTAGCAAGTGATCGTAGTCTCTATTCATTTCAACTCTTAAATTCTGATGCTAAAGCTAAGAATCTTCAAATAGAATAATCTATTTAATGAATAATACAGATTTATTGAGAAATTAATTACTTCATAAGTTCATACTAAGCAATGTCAGATTTTGTCAGTGTCAGTTAGCTACTCTAACAGATAGATAAATCAAAAATCAAAATTATTTTGACACTTTTTAAACTTGTAGCCTTTTCAGGAAGACAAATTAACATCATTACTGAAACAAAAAAGGGAATAGCCTATGAAATAGTAAGCACTAAGCAATTCATCAATGTCAATGCTTGAATGCAGTAGAAATTCAATATTCATTCTGTAATTGAGAGGTCATTAGGACATTACCTAAATAGGTAGGGTAGGGGGTACCCTACATAAGAAATTATTTGTTTAGCTGTCACACCCACCGTGACCCACGACTTAATAATTTAATTGAGGTAGTTCGAGTTTCACCACGGTCCGCGACTACACGTGACGTGAAGATAAGACTAACGAGCTGTTATGATTTCACAGTTCACTCAACTGAACAGCGTTACAAACCCTTCCGGACCTTCCCAAATCCCAATTGTTCAAGAGTTTAGCACTGCCAAAAAAATTGTAATCTAAAAAATGCGCGAACCGATAAATTATTGTTTATCATAATTGATAACATTTTGTCTAATAGGACCTAATCAACTAACTTTATCATTTTATTTCGAGAGAGATGTGTCTCACAGCCTCTCAAGACTTTCTGGGATCCGCCTCTCCAACGCACCTCTCCGCTTTCCGGCGTGACGTAAGACTTTTCCTTGAAAAACTTGACATTCAAGGAATGTCTTTTTTCTCAATAAAAGAAATAATTCATTGTTTCAAAATTTCTCTTCTTTTTATATTTTGTAATGAAATTCGGAGCCTCAAATGATGTTTGGAGTTATACGATAGTAAAAAATTACAAAATTATAAGTTGCATCGCAAACAAGAAATTTTAACTTTTGTTAAGAGTTCACGAGTTGAATGAATTTTTGGACTCGGAAGGCAGTACAGTTCTTACAAATTTATTAAACATAATGGTGATAGTTTTAATATGCTAAAATCAACTACGAAGAGAATTGAATCACAGAAATGAAAAAAAAAACAGAAAATACGGAATTCAGATGCTGCAAACCCTCTTATGGTCGAAAAAATACGACTCAAGATTTATCAATCCCATGGATCTCATTAACAAAATTGAGTAGCTAACTATTGCATGCGTACGGCCATGATAAATAAAGGCGATAAAAATCTCCAATACTTTCATTACCAAATGAAAGAAAGAACAATATTTCGGGAGGCATGGGTTAGTACAACTTTGGACGCCATCAACGTAGGAAAGCGAGTAAGTTATTAGGGATATATGTAAATAAATAACTATAAGTTTAACTGTTTAAATAACTATAAAACTACTAGTGTAATAGTTATTTCCCTAGTAATTAATTCATATACTGAATATCTGAAGTGTTTTAAACTATGAAGTTTTTAAACATAACCATATAATTTTTTATAGCATTTTGCTGGCTTCTTTGTATATCGCAACGCTGATTCATGAGGGTCGTCTTCGTCTAAAAGAAATTTTGCATTTACTTACCGATCTTTTTCAAACTTCTTACACACGTGCAAAACACTAATAGAAAAACTTTTGTTCGTATGAATTTTATTGAAAAATAAGGAAAACGTGAATTGCTTAGAAAACGGGAGAAAGAGGGACTTTCATCTCTTCAATCGATTTTCGAGCTACAACATCGAGAGACATATCACTCGATTTGCAATACAAACATCTAGCTTCTCTGGAGGTAATTTTTTTTATTTTTAAAGAACTTTCCTAATTTTTCCGTCCCTCCTGGTTTTGTTTGACAGTATACAATCCAAAAATAAATAAATAAGAAAAAAAGCTTCGAGAGCCGTTAGATATTCTCTTTACAAATCAAATGATACGTCTCTCGATGTTGCAGTTTGCAAATTGAAGGAGAAGATAAATTTAAATGAGGCGAAAAATGTCAAATTCAATTGTTCATAAGAGCCAAATAATTAGTGAAGTGGATAAAAAAAGACAAATTAAATATCACCAGCTTTCCTTTCACCTATTTGTTTCTAGTTCTCGTGTTGAGGGAACCACCATGCGCCGCATGATTTATAGTTTTGTCCAGTTTAATGTGAATAATAATAAATACAATTCTTCATAAAATATTCTTAAATTTTGTTAAAAAATGTTCATCTCATATAAATTTGAAACTGCCTCACTCGTAAACTAGAGCACGCACAAACAAACGGTTTGCAGCGTTCGCCGCCCTTTTTCCACTGCTACAAAATGAGCTAAAATGAACGAATTTTTTAATTTTTGTGGTAGACGACCTCCTAAAGTTAGAAGGGGAACCTTTGACACACGACACTGGTGAACAGAGAGAATGGTTTTCGGATTTTTTGTGTGGGTAGGAAAGTATTTTTGCTGCTGATCTCAAAACTGGCAAAAAAAACTTTGTTATCTCTAGCACGTCTAGTTTTTTAAATAAATAAGTTTTTAGGTAAAATATATTAATAATTAAATAAATAATGATTGATTCTACACATAATAATCGTACTAATTATGTGTGTATATGTGTAAATAATTATGAAATTAATCGAACTGATCCTCCTACGTTGATATATATTAAATGTAACTAAATGTGTGTGGTGCCTGTGGCTTTATCAGGACCTAATGCACAAATAAACAAAACACACTAATAAAAAATGATCGTATTTTCACATATTTAATACGTATATAAACATAAAAAAAGCTAGCTTGAAAAACAATCAGGTTGTTAAGTTTGTACTTCCAAAGAACATTAGGACCTCAAATTGTTATTAAAGGAATTTTTCCTGGAAAAATCTATGCCGAACACTCAGCAGTACTCACCTTGCCCCGTAGTGGCTATATTGGGAGTGTTCCTGTGCTTTGCTATGCCGTTTGTAGGTGCAGCTACCAACTACATAATTGTTATAAATATTTTATTTGAAATAAAAATACTTCAAAAACTAGACGTGCCAGAGGAAAAAGCTTGTTTTGAAATCCGCCGCGACATTGCTATCCAACCGACACAAAATGATCTCAGAACAATTTTCTCTGTGGACCAGACGCATTATTTAAACATATATAATTAATTTAATTATGAAATATATTCTCCCTAAGAATACGAACATTTCAAAAAAATATACACGTGTTAGATAAAAAACAGTTATGAAATCATCTGCGAAAACGCTTTCTGACCCAAACAAAATAATCTTATAATAATTTTCCGATTTTTTTCTTGACAATTGACATAATTCAAGTTGAAGATCGAATTACAGTCGCCCTTTATGTAGCTAAATCATATCATAGACACCCAAGTTTGCTGCTCTCCTAGCCTAATTTTTTCCTGCGGTACAATGGATGACCGTCGAGCTATTGTGGAAGCAAACCCTGATACACAGCTTCGAATTCTAAACTTAACATGATTGTTCTTTAATCTAGCGTTTTTTATGTTTATATGTGTATTAAATATGTGAAAATATGATTATTTTTATTAGTGTATTATGTTTATTTGTGCATTAGGTCTCGATATAGCCACAGACACCACAGACATTTGGTTTTTCTTTTATGTCACGAATAGAAATGACTATACATGCAGCATTTACACAATGAGAAACTCAATTGCGTGACGCAAGAGAGATTTTTTTAATAAACGTCGTGCTAATGTTGCTGCATGTGACACGATATATAATTTCAAAAATGTAATGTGATACAATACTTTTATATATCGCATAATGGTTTCAGTTCGAGTTTTTTAAAAACGAGGTGTCCATTTCGGCGTCTTAGTGCGACATAAATCAAAATAAGCTTTAATATAGGATGACCACTGTTATTATTATTATAATATTGTATATAAGAGGATCTAAAATATAAAAAAAATAATACAGCGTCAAAGTTGCACTAGTTGAACCCGTCAGAGCACGGCTGGGAGCTGCTAAGTTTGAAGAAGTAGAGCAAGGTTGGTTCGTGATTAAAAATAAAATCAGGCCACAGCAAGTGAAGCGACAATCCAGTGAACGTCAAACACGACAGGGCTGGTAGTTGAATTAATGATGACTGCGCTGTGGAATTCACGATGTTGTTTAAACGTCGTATAATATATTTAAAGTTTTAGGTTCAAACTTTTGACGTGGCAGTTCTGCATTAAAGAATTGAATGATGCTAACGTCCTCTTCAATGCATTATAAAACGAAAATACATAATCTCTCAACTCTGTAGAAATTATTGCGAAGATTCCCTCAGTTTCAAGAAACGAGATAAGTTCCATGACGAATTTAATTGTCATGACTACTGAACAGAATTGCATTTAAGCCCTATATATCATATTCATATTTTTTTTGTAACTTCAGATCACAGAAGGAAATTACTAGCTATAGCAGCCTTGGTTAGCTGCGCATACAGACCAGTTTGTACAGATTGTCTGATATAATTCTAATTTTAAAATTATTTTCGTTTGTTCCACAGAAATTCTATGGTGCCCCAAGATTTTCTCATCGTTATTTGGCACAAGAGACCAAGATTTTCCTCATCCCAAAGTTTCAGCCCAGCGAGAGAAACACAAAGCTGAGTCCTGAAAGCCGTCTCATTTGCACACGGTTGCATCCCAAAAACGACTTCAATCACTGGGTAAAGTCCACAATCCTCAACGGAATTCTGGTCGTATATTAGACCAAACTCGACGCTTCGTTTTTTGGACTGGACAAACAGATCCAACAATTACTCAATGCTGTGAGCATCGAATACAGGTTTGCCGATATGTGGCGGGACGGTAAAAATGCTATTGACTCAAAGTGTTAGGCGAGGTTTTATGAAACTAATCGAGTGAGTCATCGGATATACAGTAAAAAAACGTGTAGTGGATGACTATTTGTTAACATTTGGGTTTGTTCCTGGCAATGCCTTCAAGTTTTGACGATAATGACGGTACTGGCGTGACAGGGCACAGAATTGGTTGCATGTGCCAGCGATGCCGGATGAAAAGAATTTACTCTGGAACTCGTAATGAAAGCAGTAACGGTGTTTATCCCAATAGCATTGCTAACTCAATAATGCGACGTCAAAAAACTCCTAACACCTCTCCTAGGAAACGGTCGTGCATAGACGCGATAAAAAATGTTCTAGGGATTCATTCGACGAAAGTTGAGAGTCTGG